CCCTCAGACCTGCTGCCTGCAAGTGTTTCACATTACCCAGCCCTGTTTATCGCCAATGTGGATACGAGTGACAAGCCAGGTTCGCATTGGGTGGCGTTTTATTTCACCAAGGATCAAGAGGTAGAATTTTTCGATTCTTACGGATCACCACCCAGCAAATACTCAGGAACATTTACTACCTTTTTGAACAACAATTCTAACCAGTGGACTTTTAATACTGTGACATTACAAAGCATCTATTCAAAAGTCTGCGGACATTACTGTTTGTATTTTGCTTTATATCGTAGTCGGCAAATAAGTATGAGTACTATTGTCCATCGTTTTTCTAAAAACACAAGTAAAAATGATAGTCTTGTAAAACGATTTATTGAAAAACATTTTCCTATAAGTTTTCCGAAATATCGCACTGATGTAAACATGCAAAGAGCAAAAGCACAACACTACGTTCAGTAAACAGACGCCATGTAATTTCTTTTCAACACATTTTATTGAATGAGCAAAATAAAGTTTTGTGTTTCAAAACAAAAAAGTCTCTTGTCATTATTTATAATCGTAACCATCGAACAGCCTGAGGGCGAGGACTCTCGACTCTGCGCCTCTGCTTTTTGACAGAAGATAACGTCACCGTCACTATTAACACCACCTGTAACACAAACTCTGAAAAATCTGGATAGCCAAATGGGGGATATTTTAGAAAGTAAACAGCTTGTTGATGAGGAAAAGGCGAAGCTTTACAATCAGGTGTTGCAACGGTACTTGACTTATTACGATCAGCGGAAAGGCCAGCCTCTCCATGTGAGGTTGACGAGCCCTAAAACAACAGAAACCCCCAAACCAGTTGAGAACGCAGAATCTACAGAGGAAGCTTCTCCAGATAATTCTCTTCCAACAGCAGTAGAGCAAGAGGTCATGAAAAGTGTACCGAAAAATTTACAAAGCTGGGGCTAGACAGTTGTTGGATAAAATTAAAAAACACCAGGATGTGTTGCATTGGAATGATAAAGGAGAGCTGTTGTATGAAAACAAACCAATCCCAGTTTCTCATGTGGTCGACCTAGTCAACGACACATTGCGTCACAGAAATGGATTTGAACCAGTGGGGTGGTCCGTGTTTGCGAGGGGCCTGGCGCGAATGAATGTCCCCGAGAACTTGGTTCGTAATCCCCAACGTCAGAGTGCCATAAGAGAGTTTAAAGCAAGAGTGAGAGAGGAGACCCCAGAAAGTCCTTCGCGTTGGCTACCCACCCCACCTATCTGCTGGCGTTGCTGCAATTGTTCCAGAGTGTTTTTAGGAACGAGAACCATGCGTCTTGTATGTTTCATCTTAAGTAAGAAGCGAGCTCAACACCCGAAGAACGGGAGGTAGCAAAAAACTTAAAAAGTTTCCTCCGCGTTGTACCAAGATTTGCTTTTTCTTGTTTAGCGGGGTACTCTTTTCAGCTAGAGCAGTCAAGGCTTTCTTGTGTTTAAGAAGTTTTCTGTTTGCCGGTTTACTGACAGGGACTGTTTCTTTAAGTACGTTGAATACACACTCACAAATGGTTCTTACTAAAGCGTCGTCGGCTGCTTTCAAAATTGCTTTACGTTGAGCTGGGGTACACTTGACGAGGAGCTTAAGAAAATCGTGGTTCTTTCTTAGTCGCTGGGCCACACTCAACTGATGTCAATCACTACGATGTAGCTTTTTTATACCTTTCTGACATAGGCGAGCTGAGTCTCCCTAGGGAAAATGCTTGTGCGCAACCGGAAGTCGATAGGCGTTTCCGGTTTGAGGTCGCATAACAGGTAGCCATAAGGGCGTTTTGTCGCATCCTGAAACGATTCTTGCATGTATTTGACATGACCGGGAAACATCTGTTTCGCCAAGTGACTGACTTGACTGCTATCCCGCGGAGTCTTCAACATCACCAAATAATGGCAATTCAAACTCATGTCTCTCAGTTCTTTTCCCCGGTGAAAAATATTTTTGTAGAATGAAAATAACGCTTAAATTTCTGTGATGACAGCCCTTAGTAAAAAAATTGGTAATTCTTTGATCATTGCTAAGCTCCTGCATTAAATCGTAAATGACCACTAAATTCCGAATAGTTGGGTTTATCATGGATTCTAAATCACCAGGAACTCCTTCGACGAACGTGATGTCGGGAATAGTCCTTAGCATCTCATCGTAAGCCGGTTGGTACATCCCATAACACCAAATGATATTTTCAGGAGCTCCTTCTGTTAATTCTTCTCCAGATTCCAACAGGTGTTTGACAAACTGACTTTTTCCACAACAAGGGGGTCCAGCTACAATAGCAGGAAAGGGGTGTTTCCACCTTGGGTCCATGTTGACAACTGACTGGTTCAACTGCGTTTACTCTTATTTATGGAGAAATGGTCTTTGGTAGAGTATCTTTATCATATACTCGAACCATGTTGGTATTTTGTAATTTAGCAAACTGGAGCCAATATTTTCTCTCTAAGTCAGACAGCTCGTGTACCTGAGCCAAATGGTTTGCTAATCGAACTAAAAATTTTGACCCACAGCCAGGAACAGGACAATGCTTGCATTTTAGTTTTTTTTTTCATGTTAACGGTACGAAAGCAGACTTTAAACTGAACAAATCTATTTATTTTACAAATTTATTTTCGAGGGCACAACGGGGAACCAAGGGCATAAAGGGCAGCAATTGAGTGTTTTTTTTTCCTCAGGAATACGCGAGAAGGTCGCGTGGGAAGTCAGTGCGTGGGAACCCACTCGCGCCTTAAGTCAGAGAATTACAAGAAACACGTTTTTTATAAAGTGTTTTATTCATGAATCACACACGTTACAATTTTTGATACTCATTTTTTTTAATACAGCAATCAATTTACAATACAATTTTATATATCTAGAGGCATAGTGGTAACTCCATCCTCCAACACTTTTCTTTTGGGGTAAAAGTAGGAAAACCCATCTCAAACTTGTTCATAAGTATAGATGCTATTGTTGACTACCCGAAAACCTTTATTTAATCCTCCACTACTCTGTTTGGTCAACAGAACATTAAGATATTTTTCTTTGTTAATGTCGTTTGTTTTCTTGTTAACCCCTTTACAACTGAACTTGTCATAGGCCCCAAAGCAATACTAGGTCTCGCTACTGAGACCAATTATTCCCGCCCCTGACCACTCTTCCTTAAATAAACCTGGTGTTCTTTTGTTATAAGCTTTGTGTTCTGGAGTGTCGGTTCGTGGAAACCAATAGGCCTTGTCGTCTTCAAATTCCTCTCTTAACTCTGGTTTTACTAAACTTTCTACCGACTGTCCTGCGATCGCGATATAGGCAGAGACGGTGTCCATTTCACAATACTGAAAATCACTACGATCAAGATACTTATCCATGAAATCAAAATAAAACTGAAGCATTCTAAGTTTAACGTATTGATAAAAGAAAAAACCTATCTGCATGGGAAGGTTCAACTTGATTTTTTTCTTGCAAGATTGCACTTCAAACGTATTTTCATAAATCCGTTCAGTCTGTCTAAAGAAGGGTTTGTTTATTAAGCGGGACGCTTTGGTTTCTTTACAAAACTGGACTTCTCGATGGCGTTCCTGATCTGTGATCGTCTTTCCATAACTCGAGTTCCCCACCTATGAAAAAAAAAAGACAACATTGATATGAGTTTTTTGTACCTTAAAACGTATTTCTTCCTTCCTTCCCTCAATAGTAGAACAACTTACCAATTTCATAGTGTCTGCGATGATGGCTTTGTTTGGGTCTACATCTCCAGCCCGTCTAGCATCCGATACAGCTTCCCCAAAGAGTTGAAAACAGGGAACGGGTGTATACTCCACTACTTGATAAATATGAGTCACTTCCAGACCATGCTCCAAGTACCACTTAATGAGTGGGGAAGCCAATAAGATCTTCTCACCAAAATAGCTACCAGCGCGACTTCTGCGAGGTTGTGACATGATGTTCTTTTCCTCAGCAAAGGTTTGCATGTGCTGACCAATATCTTCTCTTGAAATTTCTATGTTTTTGAAAATGGGGCACATTTCTGCAAACTTGGGTTTTAGTGCATCAGGTACTCGAACGTCACACCCGACCACTCCAAAGAGGGACTCGCTTCTAATAGCGCTTAAGATCTGGTCTTGTGTCAGAGTCTTGTGATGATCAAGAGGGCGGTCAAACTTGGAGTTAAGAAATTGCTGAACTTGTGAGTTGGTTTTCCTCATTCGACGCCACTGGCACTCGTAGATTTCCACAAGATGGTACCCCTGATCCTTGATGTACTTGGAGGTTTCTTTGGTTTCTTCTCGTAACTCCGCCATTGGTCTTTTTCTCTTTTCGTTCATTTCTTTTCCTTTAGTAAGATGACAGATATGCCCATGCCACCAGCAGCCATGGAACTGAAAGACTGTTTGTGAAGGACCATGAAAACCATCCACTGGCAACCTTCTTTCACCTATGCGTTTTTCCGTGTCGTTCATTTGGTGACGTATGCGAACTCCCATTTCCTCAGCTTTCCATTCCAACCACTCGGTGGCCATCCTGGAAGAACTTTCTCTCTTGAAGCCAGTTTCCTCTCGGCGTCTTGTAAATGATCCGGTGGGCATGTCTTGCATGATGGCCCATAGATAGAGCGCATTGGCGTCGTATCCAACAATCTTTTGACAGGTTTTTGCTTGTTTTCCTTGATCTTCCATTTCTTTTTCTCTGATTTTGGTTTTTCCCGCCTCGTGATATCGATGAAATATTATACTAGGGCCACCCTCCATATTTTTCTTAAAGAGATAGTACAGATCTTTCTTTTTTCGTCAAAGAGAGAGAAGAAGATGCCAGATTCCAGGGTGGTAAAGAGGCACGTCAAGGTAACACCGGGGATGGAAATGCCTTGTCTTAACATGTCTATCTTTTTATCTTTCCAGAAGGCGCACATTTTTTCCAGGGCCTCACAGAAAGGTTGGACATCTAGGTTGTTGTACCAGATGAGAAATTCTCGAAAGGTCTGCATATTATTGTTCGGCCAGACTTGTTGACAGTACTGGTAGTCTTCATCAGAAATGTTCTTGTTTTTTAACGTAGAAAAGAAGGCTTCGTGAGGTGGAAGCGAAGGGTGTTCTAATTTCTCCAGAGAATCCAGCCACTGATAAGGAAAGAACCCTTTGGTTTGAGGACACTCGTAGGCTTTCAGAAATTTGTCGTAGCTGAAACCGGGAGCAGGAAAGTTGGTGACGTCGAGGAAGCGAAGATGTGGGGTCTTTAGGCACATGAAGTTATGGTTACGTTTGATAGTAAAACGAACGCCTTCATTCTGGACTAGGACGGGAAACAGAAATTCTTTGACGGCATTCAAGTCATATTTACCAGAATTGAAGCCCAGGACAGGAAGTTCTTGCAGATATTCTTGGAAACGATCTCTCAGTTTCTTTAAAGGGTGTACTTTTTTCTTCTTAGGTTCTGGGCTGTTGTCCTCTGATCTGTCATATTCACACTCGACATCATTTTCACTCTGATCCTCTTGTTCACGATCTGAGGCCCTGTAAAACGAGGCACCTTGTTCTTCTACGTCAACGTCAATAAAGGCACCATCTTCTTCGGTTTCAGACTCGATTTCTTCTTCTTCGTCATCTGTGTCCATGAGATCTTCTCCTTCATCATCGCTATCCTCTTGGGTGCTGTCCTCTACTGTCTTGTCTCTGGGAGGTTCACAACTTTCTGATTTTGCTGTAGGTCTTGCAGCTTTAGGTCGATGGATTCAAAAAGAAAGTTAAACTCTTTTCTTAACAGGTCATAACTCTTTTCACTTATTTTTACGAGGTGTTCTAACATCTCTTTGACGAGTTGTTTAGAGTCCCCATCTGACACAAAGCACTTGGGTTGGTCGTAGTCTGGAACGTTGGAACAGACACTCACGCTGAGGCGTATATGTTTAGCGTCCCAAGTCAGTTTCTCTGTATCGTTAAGGTCTGTCTCAGGTGTAAACATACACTCAAAGTCAAAGGTAGCTCTGTAAGGGAAGAACTTGAGATGCTCAGGAACACTCAACCCTTCGTCTTCAAGCAACTGAAAGATGGTTTGTGGGGTCTTGTAAGCACCTCCTGGAAACTGGTAACTAACTTTCGCTTTACGGGTTCACTCGTGACGATTTAACATACCAACATGTTTCCACAATGTTCCACATCGCGAGCAGCTGTAGGACATTGGCATACTTCTTTAAATCTTTAATATAGGAAAAGTGATTCTGGTACAGGTTGAGGTACAGCGTACTTGGGTAGTGGCAAAGGGAGCGGTGAATCAACTGCGCAGCGATCTCAGGAGCGAAATCCTCTTCCTCTTTTTCTATGTCTTCTTCCCCCTCCTCTCCATCGGGTTTAGTGGGTTCGAGGGAATAGACAAAAATGTTGACTTCATATAGCTGTTCTAGGTCGATCAGTTCTTTCAGCTTTACACCACAAAATTTCTTTTTCTCAGGAAAAAATTCTCTATGTCGCTCATAGTAATGTTCGCATCCCGCTCTAGATTCTTTTGGTGACAACCGTTGTGGAGTTCCAAAGCACGAAAGAAGCACAAATTGTCGCTGTAGACTTTTCCATTATTGCGGTTGCGATCCAAGGCGACCAAACCATGGTTCTCGGCCAGATAGGAAGGCAAGTAAGTACCTCTCCCTATAGGATGACCTTGTAGCTTGGTGACGAAAAAGGTTACATTGGTCACCTGTTGTACCACCCATTTGGAGTTGGGGCGTCGCTGGCGTACCCATTCCAAAACGTCAAGGTTTAACAATGCTTCACGGACTTGAGGCATAATAATATTGAAGTGCTGCAGTCTCGTTGTTGCGTAGAATGAAACCAAAAGACACATTGAGCGTAAACACCGTGGACTGGTCAGTAAAGATCTCGTGAAGGTACTGTATAACCTCTTGAGGTTGGAGAGAGGGCAGGCGGTAATTGTACCAGACCAAAAGGCGATTTTTGCGGCTAAAACGAGTGCGTATTTGATGCCAGTGGTTGCGGTATTCGGGAAAGACACTTTGTTGTGCTTCAGGTAGATCAGTGATAGATTTTGGCTCTTGCTGCCAACTAGAACTTGGGCTTCATTTTCTTGGGTTTTGGCTCTAAATGGGAAATAAAAATTGCAATGTCAATTCCTAAATCCAAATTAGGTATCCAGAAACACAAAGGAGCTGTTTATACAATGTATTGTTTAACATACTCAAATTAGCATACGACTAATCCAATTTTTTTCCACTTCATTGCTTTTACCTAACATTTGTGTAGGATTAACTCTCTGAACAAAAGTTTTGTCCCATCATGTCTAAAATATGTTGTACTAAGCCTCTGTACAAAGGCAAACCAAAGACTTGTTCGAACATACTCTAGCCTCTATTGTTTTAACATCCCACAGCTAAAATTTGCATACCACTAATCCAATTGTTCCACTCCACTGCCTTCACCTCAAATTTGCATACGGTACAGCTTTCAAACAAAAGACATGTTCAAACATGCCATAGCCTCTACTGTGTTGCAAGAAGCAATTAAAAAGTTACCTACGACTAATCCTTGACACAAAATATAATTTTATCTTACTGAAATACAACAGAAAAGTTCACTGCTTCCTACCTGTTTCCTCGTTCCTTGGACGTTTCTTACTTAAAGAGGGTTTGGTATGAGCCGTCTTTTGATGTGCTTGGAATGGTGCCATATTGTGGAATACGTCTCCACAGGTAGTACATTTGTATTCCCGTTGACCTGCTCGGCGCTCGTGAACTTGTTTTTCGTGCCGTAATAAATCCGATTTTCGTCTGAATTTCTTGTCACACTCAGGACAGTCGTGCTGTTTCTCGTTGATGTGTATCTGTTGATGTTGTTTTAAATTATCTGCTCGAGTGAATACGTTTTTGCAAGTGGGACATTCATGTCGCGTCTTTTTAGCGGGAGGAGGTATGTCTACATCATCCTATAAAATAAACGTAAATCGTATAAATGCCTGACAAACTATGTGTTTAAATAAGAAAAGTGAGTAAAGTAATTACGAAAACACCTACCTGCGAGGATCGTTTTCTCCCAGCTCCACCCTGTACTTGGTTCGGAGAAGGCTGAGAAGATAGATGTGATAAGACTCAGAGTACTTAAACTACGTTTTTACGTGTCAACAAGGACAAACTTTACGGAACACTTACCGTTTTAAACTCTTTCTCCCAATCATTCCATGGCTGCAACACTTCAGCAGGAATATTGGAATCTTGCAAAGGTGTATGGGAAGGCTGGACCTAGAATGAAACTACGTGTTACCAAAAGAATCTAGCCTTGAATGACATTCAAACGTTAATAACGCACCTCTTCTGGAAATGTTAAGGTCATCATTCGATCCACCGCTTCAGAAATCTGATCGCTTGGTATCTCGTTGTGCCAGATGAAATTTTCAAACTCTTCCAAAGTGGTGAACTGGTTGAAAGCCATGACTACTCGCACTCAACTTAGTCACAATGCGTGAACGATGCGCTTGGCAGTGAGCAGGCTTTTATACCGTTCAAACAATAAAAATACGGCAACCAACCAGATTGCTTCGTCAAACGAGACAGCCATTGAGCATCTTTCTAATTCCGGTCAACCAATCAAAACAACTATAACATCATAGTACCCCGGAATACATATGACATCATCTTCCGAAAATAACTAAAACCTGTCAAACCGGTTATACCAACCATGACCGCCACAAGATAAAAATAGAACATGACATCATTGATAAACCCCTTCAAACTGGATATACTTAATGAGATTCCAGCGCAAGTTAATGAGATACCACAGCATTTTATTCATGAGATCAAGACAATAGCCTATGACGTCACCTAGTTAATGTATTCCTGCGCACGCTAATGAAATTCCTGCGCAAAAAAACGGCCGAACCGGTGCGCCCTATACTACTCTCAAGTAAAGATAGCCAGCTACTTGGAGGTCTCAGGTGGCATTTCACGAGTTCAAAAGTCATAATAATTTGGATTTGTGTAATACATTTTCAACATCTCTCTGGATTTGATAAAAGGTACCTCCAGAAATTTCCATTGCGTTTTAACAATTTGACCCTTAAGGTCAATAATAAGCAGTTGAAAGTTGCTAGTTAGGGCTTAAAACGGAGGAATTAATCGCTGGCAACACACGAAAAGTTGCTCTTGGCAAAAGCGACAGATCTTGTAACGAAATGAACAGCATTTAAAAGCACAGAAAAAATGACCTTTCAGTCTCTTAAACTATGTGGCTCATAGCGAGATGCCTTACTAAAACTACGGAAGCCCAGGGGGGCCACGTAGCGACTTCGTTTTTATTTTTCACTTTTCGGTTTTTATTTTTTACGTTTCGGTTTTCATTTTTTACTTTTCCGTTTTTGTTTTCAATGTTTTGATTTTCACTTCGTCATTTTGCTTTATGTTTCATAATGTTGACTCCAAAGCACTAAACTCACTATCCGAAGATGAAACGCTAATGCGCTCATTTAAATCAACACATATTATCGCGACTAGCGTTCATTTCACTCGGCACTACGTCTTCGTAAATTACCCCCTCTTGCGAATTTACGCTCTGATTGCTAGAGCACCAAGATATAGAGGAATCGTCACTAGGAGTTGGAATTGCACTTAACGCTTGATCTTGAGCCTCGGCCCTATTAGACCTAACTGACCTTAAAAACGAGTGAAACAATGATTCTCTAGACTGAGGAACGGGTGGAGGAGGGGCAGGCCACTCATTAGAACTCGGAGACAAACCCAAATTTTCCTGGCTAGAAGCCCATTCAGCCAGGGCACGCGCTCTACGCCTAGTAATCAGGATTAAGTCAAGTCTCCCAACGTTGAAGAACAAAATTTGTACTTATTCAAAAACATGGCGAAAGCAAAATGCCTACAAAACACTAACAGAAAACCCGACTTTGAAATTGACCCATTGCAGCGACAAGAAACACTAACGAAAACAGAGTTTAACGGTAAAGAGAAACGACGCATTACAAATGCCAAAAAGAACTAAACTAGCTTGCAACAGAAAGGCATGCTAAAAAAAAAAACAACAACAAAACAAAGTTCCACTCACAATCGACTTCTTTAAGCGGATTCTCCACCAAATATGTTAGGGGTTTCTTCGACGGGGACAGCTCCTCTAGCGAGAGTACTCCAGGACTCTGACAAAGCTTTGATACTTTCTTCCTTTAATTACTGGCGGCAAGACAAACGTCTACAGTTCGGCTTCTTACAACAGCTAATCACACTCTACTAACCCTCCAACTATACAAGTTATATAAGCATAACGCAGGTACCTTTAGGCTTGCTGATCATGAGAGTTACGAAAGCTGTTCAGAATGACTTCTAACGAATTTCCCGTTGTTAACAAAAGTGGAATAAACAATCCTACAAGAAAACCAATGAAAGTTCGACAGCTAAATCCACGAGGCTAAACTTTAAACCAAAACAGGAACTCTGATGTAGGTAATTAGCAAGGTCAGCAATGGTCCCAAAACGTACCCACTTAAAAACTGACAATCAAACTCAATTAAACCCCAAGCTTGATTACACGTCTGTCGACAAACCAATTTAAAAGGTAATAACACTCAAAAACCTGTTAACGCATACATTGGTTGACCTTGATTCTCAAA